TTAGCTCTTATTCATGATCAGATATTTTCACACCAGTTTCTCTTAAGAGGCACTGACTCACCCCAAAGCATCATTCAGACACCACTGCTCGATGTATGTTAAGTGTCAGTGCTTTGTAATACTGATACCTAAAGAGTCTGAGTCTGTCATGAGCATTACTGTATAATTTTTTACACTTTGAAATTTGAGTGCCTTTTTGAACTGTGGAATGACGAGTTAAAAGTGAAATACGTGATCTTGTTTGAGTTTTGAAGCAGAAAGAAGTACTGTACAGTGAGACTTACCAGTAAGTATAATGCTCACTTCAGCATGGGTAGGTTTAGGGGCAGATCCAGGAAGGTACGGCTGTGTGGCTCATGCACAGCAAGCTCTCTGAGCTCACTGGCTTATCAGCGTGGTTTCTGCTTTAGCATTGCTCTGGAACTTAGGAGGTGAACACTGCCACTGCTTGCCACCACTGCTTATACACACCCCTTTTCCTCAATGGTCCAGTTTGATGATCTGTATTAGGTGGGTGAGACCATTTATAGAGCTGCATATAGAAGAGAAGTGAAGTTTTGCAGTCCTATTGAAAAGATGGTGCCATAGGGGGTGCAGATCTCTTTAAAAAATAGGTAGATATTTTACTTGCCAAAATCACTACAAGTATTCTGTTTTTAACTACTGTATTTTCTGACATTATGCACCTCCCCCCCCCACCCCCCACCAAAAAAAATTCAGTGCCCCTATGTATTAGGCAGGGAAGCACCTTGCTTTAATTCCTGCTCCAGGGCAGCAGTTGCTGCATTACTGTTCAGGAAACTGAGGGAGTTTCAGTTGATTCAATGGCTTATTGTTCTTCACTCTAGAAGTGTTAATGGACATCTCTCCTTTTTAAAGATCTTAATTTTCAACTAATTAAGCTGACCTTTCTTAGGGCATTTTTGCTGTCTGCTCCTGGTCTCTCTCTTCCTATTTCAGTCCTGGAGACTCTTTGGCTCTTTTAAAAATCAGAAATCCACCCATGGAGACCAGTCTTAAGCTGAAACCCTAGCCATTGCTGCAGGTAAGCAGGAAAGGAGCATGAGTCACTGAAGACTAGGCTCCATCTCTGCTCTCTGCAGCCATAACTCTGGAAAAATATTTTCTTCAATCTCACTTTCAAAATGAGGCATATATTCTGGGGCATGTTGTATGTGAGAAAATATGGTGTATTTTTCTCACAATGCAAAGAGGAAAAAAATCACATATGGCCACTTTTACTATCAAATGAACCAAATAAACTAGAATGTTTTTCTCTGAGCTTTATTACATAATGGTAAACATTTGCTGAGCTTAAATTGTTCAAGCCACAGCTTTTAATCTCTGAGCATGCAGCCTCAACAGCTCTTTATGTCGCATAAGTCCAAACTTACGGGGTTCCATAGTGGTTAGTATGGTGAATGTGACGCAGTCGTTCGGCTGTGTCCTGTCCCATCCTGCCTCTCCTCCTCCCCCGCATCTTTTCCCAGCCACTGGCTACTCTGGTCTGCAGCCAGAACTCCACTGCCCCAGCTTATATTGCCTGCACTTGACCCAGTCTGTTCTGTCCCAGACTGACTTGGGTTGCAGGGGGAGGGGGGTTTGATGTGTGTAAAGAGGGGGTACCCCTGCTCCTGGGTTCCCAGGGGGCAGGGGGGGTGCTGCCCAATGTCTTTGCAGCTTTTAAACAGCAATTGACATGGGGACTTTGGGTAACCCTGCAGAGCACCCATCACCCTAGGAACCCAGAAGCAGAGGTACCCTCTCTCTACACACCTTGTCATCCCCACTCCCCCCCAAATCACCCTGGGATACTCCAGAGCCCAGTCAGGTGCCACAGATGGAATTCAGTTGATAAGCAGCATGGTGGAAAATGCTGTTTAAAAAGAGTGAAGCCTGTCAGCATCCTGCAGAATATTCAGCTCCCTGGGGACCAAGAAGCAAAGGTCCAGGCACCCTTCTACCTAGCCACCCATAGGGAAAATCTTAAGGCAGTAGCTGGAGGCAGAGACCTTGGGCAGCCCCCTGTGAAGGGAGAAGCAGGGATCCAGATAGCTGCCTCCACAATATACTGGTCACCCCTTCACCCCCAGATCGGCCTGTGATGCACCAACCCCTCGTATATTTCCAGAAATTGAAGTAAATTGATTACTAATTTGGTGGGGGAAGTAGTCTCTTGAAGCCATAAAAGCTCTGACAGCCCCAGGATACCCAGCTCTTGGGAAATCAGAAGCATGGTCTAAGGGCCTAGGCAACCCCTCCTCATCCCCTCCCCCCATTGCCCTCACACTTGAGTAGCCCCAGTCAGGGTGCCACCACACAGATTTTTAGTAAAATTCAGGAATCTTCTTTACTGAGCCCTGTGTTAGAAGGAGGATCAGAAAATTGCAGTTGTGGCCATTGACATTGTCTTTTCCTGTGTTGTCTGGATACCAAGGAAGAACATCTTTCTCCCCTGTTCAGGGAATACTGGAGAAACTGGGGTTCTTGCTACTGGGAGGCATGCTGGGATGGGTGTTCACTGCCACTCCCTAGTGGTGGTTTGACAGCACTGCAGTGCCTAAAATGTGACTCTTCCACCTGGCCCCTTTGGCAACATACACGCAGACCCATCTAACCTGGGACACCTGTGAAGCAGTTCCAAATCGGTGACATGCTTAGAACAGTTTAAGTATTATGTCTGTCCACACCTTAAGGCAAATTCTCACTGTGTGTGTGTTGTACAAATGTGAGTGGAACCTCCTTTGGACCTCTGGCTTAAGGGATACTTGAAAGTGCCCCACACAGCCAAGATTTCTTTCATTTTGCATTCAGCAAAGACCTTGGGGCACTTGTCCTTAGAAAGCGGGATATTAACACTATTGTTTTGAATATATGCTGAACATTTTTTTTTCTATCAATACTCTCTTTATAAAATTCACCTTAAATTGTAATAACCTTTTTGTTCCAGACTCCATAACCACATCTTCAGCACAGATTAAAGACATTTTCATTTTCTAAACTTTCTATCCATTATTGTGGTCCTTAATGTGTTAGTGGGAGCATCTACATGAAACATTTACTGTGGAGTTGCCTAATTGGCTCCTCAGTAAAGTCTAAGTGTCTACACCTGCAGCCCTATGAGGTCTCAGTGAATTAATAAACTCTGCTTTAGATTAATACTTGTACACACAAGTACAATCCTGGGGCGGCATTTAGTGTGCCACAGCACACACGTAAACACTGATGGGGTTGGCTGGGGCACGAGGATGCTTCAATGCAGGAGCTGCCTGCTGGCTATCCCTGCACTGGAGCACCCTCTTGCCGCAGCCAACCCCTCCACAGCATACTGAGCTGTGTTGGAGCAGCCCTGGCCTGGCAGGCTGACCCCCTGGACCTCCTGCCAGCTTGGGCCACTCTGCCCTGGTTCAATGTGCTGTAGTCCCAGATGCATGTGTAAATGTGGCACCCAGGAGCAATAAACTCTGGCGCAAACTGCACTAGATTTTACACACAGATTTTAGCACATTAATAATGCACCAGATTTTAGTCACATTAATAATGTGTAGATGTGCCCAGTTTGTATAAAAATAAGAACCTTACAATCTTCAGATGAAAGTTATGTAAAGACTTATAATTCTAAGTGCTCTAAGCTCTATAACTTGTTGTACTTTTTTTGTTTCCTCTAATTTTTTGGAAAAAACAGTTGAAGAAACTTTTTTAAATTTCTTCTACATTTCTCTTTTGTGTAGACGACATTGCAAACCCGTCTGGAGAGACTCTTTGAGGCCTGTTTTCCTTCCATACCTGTTCTTGAAATAGAAGAAGAAGTAATTTCCTTAAATCTCTTGTTGGAAGTGGACAGCAAACAGATGAGAACTGGCGAGACCTTGGTAAACAGTGGGTAAGTAACCAATCGTTTGGCAAACTTAAAGAAGAATGAGTACATAAATGCTGCTTTTAGTTAAGTGTATGTTTTAAAATGGGTTAAAACTTCAAATCTGAAATTATTCACTAAGTTGAATATATAAAAGCTGATGTAGTTTTTAAGTCTGTTTTTCAGTTACTGTACATCCGTAGCATTTCATCTATGGTTGATGGTTTCTCATGTACTTTCAAGTGATGTCTAAATGAGAGAGTTAATTAGGATGTGGCTTATTACTTACACTTTGCTACACTTTACTGTATTAATTCATATGATGATGAAGTCTAAGTAGGCCCTGTTCTGTTTGCTCTGGGCCTCCTTCTCCAATTATATGTCTGAAGAATAATTGTTCTGAGAACACGACAGCAATTTTAGCTCCCCCGAGTACTAATGTTTGGGCACAAGTTTAATTGGAATGTATAATATGTCAATCATATTAACAACTAGAATAAATGGTTAAAGCAGCTGAGTCATATGATTCTTCCTGAAGATGACTTGACTTATGATGGTCTGTGTAGGGAGCTGGTGGATGTATGGACAGAGCTGCAGGATATCCATGATGCATATGGATTGAGGTACCAGTGGGGAGGCTCTCATGGCAACAAAAAGCTTTTGTGTTCCTTGGGAATCGATACAAGAAATATTGTGAGTTCCTCAATAAAACTTAATTGATTAACAACTGTTCCTTTAACCTGCTATAAATGTACATGTGCATGTATATGTTTTTATGAATGATCGCATCCCTTGATGGCAATAGGGTTTCATGCCAAACCACTTAACAACAGTGAAGATGTAGTACTTAAGTTCTTAAAATGAAAATACTTAAATATTAAAAACAAATTAAAATCTTCTTACCCATATTGCATGTTTGCTCTACTATAGATCTTACACTTATAGGCCCAGGAGCAATATTTTCAAAGATTGATTTGTTTTAAAGTTGTTTTAAGACAGCACAAGAGAACTTTTTAAGTGATCTTTTTTTATCAGCTTTTTACAGGCAACAAGAAGCAGCCTGTGATAGTACCCATGTATGCAGCAGGACTGGTAAGTACTGTAATGCAGTTTCCAAAAAATACTGTATGGGCTTTTGAAAGTATAATCAAATATATTAAGTACCCTCTGTGAAGAGAAGCTAAAAGATATGTGCCATATATACTGGACATCAGCTGACATTGGGGAAAGCACTCTTTACAAAGCTGAACTAGACTAATTAGCTTCACAATAAATATCTTGCATCTATACGTGTGGCCCTATTAGGCCTCAGGAAACTAATGAACTCTGCAGCAGGGATAGTACTTGTATTTACAGGTGCAATTTACTAGTACTGCCCTGCTGCAGAGTTTTTTATTTCTCAACACTGCACGTGTAGATGCTGATGCGACTGGCTGGGGCACACGGGCCTGCTAACTAGCTCTGCACTGGAGCACCCTCATATCCCCAGCTGAGCCAAGTCAGAGCAGCCTCAGGTTGGCAGGCTGCCTTCCACCACACTTCCCCCCAGACCTTCTGCCAGCTGAGGCTACTCTGACCAGGCTCTGTAGTGTGGTCCTGGCCCTACATGTAGATATGGCACCTGGGAGCAATAAATTCTGGTGCAATAAATACTGGAGTTTATTGCTTTGCTTTAATAGCACGTGTAGATGCACCCAGTGAAACCAAAAATAATTATATACTCAGACAAAGTATGTGGGATTCGGGATATAGATATAAACACTTTGAACACACATGTGACAACAGACATTTTAAAGGATCGTGTCAGTAATTGATTGGAGCATCAGCCTATATGGTCTAACATAGTATGATTTGTCCAGTACTAGATGCTTCAGTAGAAAGTTCAAGAAAAATCATAGTAGCAGGTATGGTACATTTAATGTTATTTTTCCCAAACCCCATCAAACTTTGCTCTTGCAACCATTGTATTGAACTTCTATATGTAACTTTTGTATGTAATTACATGAATATGTTGCATAGTTTAAAAAACAGTATCTTTTCCCAGTATTTTTAGGCATGAGAATATCCCCTTGTAATGTGTTGCACTATCCTGAACATACATACTCTGTAAAAGTCCTTTAGGTACAAGACTTACTGAATCCTTACGTTCAGCGGATTCCATGACTTCTGAATCCTTCAAGGAATCCTCTTATGGAATTCACATTGGGCCCTCCATACTTCCACATTGTATTCCATGGACATAATCACTGTTTTTGCTCTGATGATTAACTGAAATATCAGAGAAGCAGTAGCACCAGTCCTGGGTGTCATCTTAGAGTCACCGCAAGGATGTAAGCTGCCAGCTTGGCTACTGCCTCAGTTGTGGCTGCTACCCCTGCCCAATTATGCCTTTTTGCAGAAGTACTTTTCACTTCCAAGGACACTGAAGTAGAAACCTTTTTATTTTGTATGATGAGATCATCCTTTTTAATTTCAGAATTGTAAAGTATTGACTTGTCTAGCATCTCATGCAGGCTGCCATATCTTTATTAGGAAGAACACTGAGATAGCAAAGCAACAATTTTTGATATCTCAGTGAAGCAAACTTTCTACTCCTAGGAGGTTGTTTTTTTTTCGGTTTTTGGTTTTTTTTAAGTAGTACTACATCAACTCTTCCTACACAAGAAATTTCAGTCATCTCTGTTATGTATTAACCTCTGATATCAAGATTTACCAGGACATATTTTAATGTATGAATTTACAACATTTTTTTCAGAGATACTAATCTAAAATCAAGAATACTGTAACCTAAAATTGAATCTTCCAGAGCAGGTGCTTTCTGATTTTTATTAAGGTCCATTTTATATATTACTTTGTACCAGCATAACCTGCATGTAAAGGGACTTTTAAATCTCTTTAGTAAGCAGTGACTTATTTTTGTGTGTATTTAGGAGCAGATCCATCTATTGTATCAGCAGTATGTAATGCAGAATAAGAGACAGTGTTATACATACATGAAAGCCTTTGCAGAAAATTTCATAACACTCTCACGGTCACTTTCTTCCAGGCTGTACGTGTGAAATACTAACATAACTAGATAGGCCTTCTCAAGACAGCCATCTCTCTTAAAAACAATCTTACCCTGCAGCTTCAGCTGGTTCCTCCCCTCCCAGAATAAGTCTTACTGTCCCAGAGAAGCTGGGACTTGAACCACCTGGCCTCTAGACTAGCTAATTAACTTCCTTGCATTAGTTTGGTTTTGGTATGGATCTGTGTGCCGACAGGACCCTTGTATTTTTGATAATGCAAACTTATGCTGATTTAGGAAAGAAGCCAGAGGTTTAGAACTTGGCTAGTTCTGCTTGGCCTTGAACACTTCATTCAGCCTCACTTCATTGGGTCTCCCTCTGTTCTTTTCAATGGATGTAAATCCATGACAGTAGCTATAGCAGACTGTAAACAATACTTGACGCAGAATCAGTTCTTGGAATTGTACTACAGAATTATCTGTACATTATTACAGAATGATAGTTACAAAGAATCTTTACATTGGTTCCTGGGACCAAAATGGAATAAATAGTACTCGTCCTTTCCACTCTGCCTTTTGATCCTTTTTTATAATAGACCACTAGCAAAAGAAAAGGGAAATGTCTGTTTGATTTGTATGACAGTTTCTTCCAACTTGTTACTGAAAATACAATTAAATTTTGATTAAAGGGGACTGGATCTATGTAAACCGTTTTTTCTGTGCTGTGTTTGATAGAGCCAGAAGAGGTCTCAATCTGAGAAATAACTTCGGGGAGATGCACAACTTCAGATAGTACTGGGTATAGTCTCTGTAATTCTTGGAATGTTTGTACATATGACTTCTTTTTTTTAGGGTATGCTAGAGCCTACCAAGGAACCCTTGAAACCAATATCTGCTGCAGAAAAAATAGCTTCGTTAGGACAGACGCCGCCTGTATCACCGGAGATGAACACATGCACATCTGATCAGTTTCAGGTAAAAACAGGAAAAAGATGATGATGATGATGATGTCTAAACTGGCTTTTTAACATTTTACAGTTTTAGGTTCCAGAACCAAAGGAATCTGAGTATGTAAAGGAGAGGTTTTTCTCAACGCCACAGTAAATCCCCACTCTTGGATCCACTACTCATGAGGCTGGAGGGAGTCCCCTAGCTAAGTGTCTAGCTGCCAGCCAGTATCAGGGATTACCTGCATCTTCTAAGAGCCCTGGTGACCTCTAATGCCCTAATAGTTTACTTTCTAACAACTGACAATGAGACAGTTGCTGCTGTGATTGTGAATAGTACCAATACAGCTGGTCCTTCTCTGACTGATGTCTTTCATTAAAAACTCTGGTTTTCCTGTAACTTCTCTAATCTAGTGCCTTATTATTTTTCATTTCTTTTCTGTATGGAGCCACTTTACCTGTCTGACCAGGATTTTTTTTCTAAATTATTATTTAAAGCTGTGCTTGTTGCACTATGTTTCCATTCTCCTTTCCCCTTTATCTTTCAGAATATGTAGGAGGCAGCCTAGCCACCTGGAGAAATAGCCTGGGTGCAGTCATAAAATGTCCATTGCTAGCACATGTGATTGTCTCCACCGTCTGGGCAAAGACCGCGACTGGTTCTGCTGACCCGCTTGTACCAAAATGTCTCCATGAGCAATTCTGTCAGTGTTGAACACCTCAAGGCTTCTTGAGTGGTGCCTCTACCCTATAAGTCTGATGCAAAGTAAGTTCAGAAAGAGTCTAAGCAAGCCTTTGATTGCACCAGAGTCTAGATTATCCCGTTAGGTACCAACAGACTGCATATATGCCAAGCATTTGAATGCAGCAGGTCTGGTGAACTGCTAAAGCACTTTGCTTTGGTGCCTTGCAACAATTACCGGTATTATTTAGTTGAGCTAGTATGGTGCTCTGAACCATCTAAGTAATTGGTATGTCACCACAGAGTCAAAGAATAAAAAGTTCAATCCAAACTTCCATTTGAGTTTAGGTCTTAACTATGCAACTCCTCTGATTGTGTGTCAGAGTCGTAAGTACTGTTGAAGAAACTACTGTGACTCCAACTCCCTGTCACGTCACAATGTCAGGTACTTCAGGGCTTATTGATTTCTTGGTCCTCCTACAGTGCCTTGGGTGCATTACAGTTACCACCATGTCTTGTTGATTAAGGTGTTTTGCATTGTTGACTGCGCTTGGAACTGTCAACACAATAGGTGCCCCAAGTGCATCTGTACTTTGTGCTTATCCCTTATCTGTGTCTTTGCATTCAGCTCTTATGCTTGCCACAGCATCAGAACATCAGAGACAACGTGGCCAGAAAAAACATTCATGAATTGGTGGTGCGAGTGCATCCCTTTTCTAGTTCTGTTTTAAAACAAGGCCTACAGAGAGATTGATTATTGCCACCAGTGTCTTTCAGAGATGTCCATTCATTACCTTGTTCAGTCTGAGCTGAAGAAATGTTTGGGTTTTTTGCCCCAAAACTTTATCAGGACAAAAGAGGGAAAAGCAGCCGGCTTCTTATGGAATTCAAGCATCTCCTCTTACAACCAGGATGATTGATGTCAACTCCATTAATCTGTAAACCTGCTGGAATTACAGGACAAAAATAGCCGAATGCTTTGAAAAATGCCACTTTCACACTTAGCTGGCATTACTTGTGCGAGATGCTGAAGATGGTGTAATATCATTCTTCTACCCAAGCTATTTCTAAAGTAGTAGAGTGACACAGTGCCCTTGCACACTATACTGGCGCTATTATTCCATTTGCTTCGTGAGATTCTGGTGAGTGAGTCGATCTTGCCTCCAGCTTCAAATTGCCAGGACTTTTGCAGATTACCTCCCCTGGTCTATGACTATAGAGAAGAGGCATCCATATTGGGGAAGCTACATCACTCCTCAATTCCTGCTGCCTGTGTTGAATTTCCAATCCCAGATGGACAAGCACCAGAATTAGCTTCCAGACGTGTACATCTTTCTGCTCTCTTCCCCAGAGCAATATAGGATTTGATACCCTTTTCAAATGGCATCAGAATGGGCTGATACCAGGTAGTCTTGGATGCTTTGATTGGTGATTAGTCAGGTATTTACACACAAACCTTAGCTGTTCCCAGATGCTCACGATGAAGGAAAAACCCTTTACAGAAAGTAGAGAGCAAAACCTTTTGTTCCATTGGCTTTATACCATAAAGGAATGCCATATTGCAAGTCTAAAGCTCAAAGACTTGGCTTACAGGATGATTCTGTACCCTGGGAATGGGGGTACTCTGGGTTGCTGTCTACAGATGCAGGTTGATCTGAAACTTGGTATTACCTACTAGCAAGAACTGCATGGTATTTGGAAGGCTCAAGAGCATATAATGAATTAATCTTCTTGGATGCCTTGCTTGTTGATGAAGGTTGGGGTCCCTTGCTTGTTCTATATAGCTTCTGGTTACCTTGGCTAACAGAAAGTACAGGATTTGTTTCAGAGGAGATTTCTTAAATTGTTCTTCAATGGGCCAGCAGTGGGAAGAGAATGTAGGACAATCCAAAGATTTGTTGTGGATATTGATAACAATAAAATGGGAATATGTTAGCCAGCCTTAGAGGTACCTGAAGTCTAGTCACAAGCCACAGACCCACCAGTTGTATCTAGGTCATGGCATGATCTTAGAGATTTGATAAGTTAATTCCAAATTCCTTCATTTCTATTTATGACCTTGAATTTTTCTTCATACCAAGCAGATAATCTCTGCATACACTCTGATGGATACCAAGGTCATAATGGTTTTCAGAAATCTGGTTTCTTAATAGTATGGATTTAAGATGGTTCTTATGTCTTGCATAAACAGAACAACATGATTAGGATTGGTCTCTCAGGAAAATGTTCATTTATGAGATTCAGTAACATTCCAAAAAGAATTTCTTCTCACCTTTATTCATCCAGATAAGTGAGAATGAGAATACTGTCATATCAAGCAAGCTAATCCGTAGCAGTCTCCTATTAGTAATTGAAGAATTGGTGAGGGTTTATGAACTGTATAATGCAGAAGGTCAAGTGATCACAGTGGTGCCTCTGGCAATTTATAGCTGAGTTCTCACTTTTGAGACAGGACATCTGAAACTTCCTTCTATTCTCAATGTTAATCTGCCAATGACCTGTGTAAATCATTGACCAAATATCACATGACTGACTGCTCTTTTCCATTTACTGAAGGAGTTCTCAAGTAGCAAAGGTTTTATGACCTTAGCTTTTTGCTGGCTGTCTTTTCAGTGTTGGTGCCATTAGACCAGTGATTCTCAACCAGGGTATAATGGCATCCTGAGGTACCATGATATCTTTTTAAAGGTGTCTCAGTATTAGCACTATTAGGTATACAAGCCTCTACACTTGATTCACAAGATAAACTTAAAGATTTCAAGTAGGAATCCATAGTGTCAAAAACTTTATGACCTTTTTGTGATCTAAGTTCTTTGCAATAATATAATTATTCTTGTAATTTTTCCATAGTGGAAAAAAAAATAAGTGGAAACTAAGAGCTGGCCTTTTTTCCAAGGAGTCCCTTGAGTCTAATGAAGGTTGAGTGCCCTGAGTTTAAAAAGGTTGAGACTTCAACTTTTGTTGAACATCATGTACAGAAGCTACCACTCTGCAGAACAAAACATGATTCTTTTTGTTAGCTTGTCTCTTGGAAGGATAGAACGTGAACCACATTCTAATGGGGGTTTAAAGTCCTCAGATGTTCTCTTTGTATGTAAGTAAGGTGTTATCAGTAAGGGCTGTCAGGAAAAGGAAATCTTTGCTCAGTTCCAGAGAGAACGAAAAGTCGTGTTACGGACAAGTGGCGAGCAAGGACTGAATATACAAGTGGAGAGAGTAAAAAGACAAGGAGAGCAAGAAAACATGGGAGTAAAATCTGTAAAGGAGTTGAAAAGTAGTGACTCTTGCCAAAAAGCTTATACCTCACTTAAATCACTTAAATGTATTTGGAAAGACTAACTACAGACTATTAGACTTCTCTTCACTTCATATGTACCTCACAAATCTGGTTAGAATATGGAAAAGTAACTTGTTAAAAAAACAAAACCAAAAAAAAAGCTCCACACTTTAAGATCAGGTTCTTAATTTTATCTAGTTCTAATAATCTCAGTTCTAGTAATCTCATTTAGCCCTCAGAGAATTGTAAACTTTACTGACTGCCCCCCCACACATGCACACTGTTAATTTAATACAAATTAAATTTGTTTTTAATTCAAATTGGCATCTGAGCTCCACTTTGATGAGTTACTTGTTGACAGTTGTTTTTCTGCCCCACTCTCGAATGCTCATCCCAGCAGGGCACATCTCCATAAACTCAATGTGAAATTACATCTAGATTATGGATCACTGCAATAGCTAATTTATATCTCAAGTGCTATATCTAGAGAGTTGTCCATTTTATTCCATAGCAAGCCTGAAATAAAAGGTGCATAAAAAAACTCATTAAGCATGAGGGGAAAGTCTACTTAAGGAGCTGCCCTCTCAACAATTACACTGACTGTTAGATCTCTGGGAGCAGGGACCCTTTGTATTTTTCTGAATCCACACAATAGGAATTCAATCCATAACTAGGAGTTTGAGGCATGATAGGAAAACTAATAGTAGTTAGTTCCAGTCAAGATGTTTGCAGAGTTATTGTATAACCTGCCTTGTGTCTATTGGTGTTGTGCTCTGATTTTTCAACTGTGGCTTAATACTCGATGCCTTGCTGTCTCTGTTCTTCTTTCAACATTCCTTTTTTTTCTTGTCTTTTTTCATTTTCATTTTTTTATATTATCATCCTAGTATATATCAAAGCTCTTGTTCATGTTTCAAAATGCCTTCTTTATACTGGGAGATGTGTTTTCTTTGGCAAAGCCTGAGGTTGTCATCCTCCAAACGTACAGAATGACTTTAGGTTTTCTTGTTTGCGTCAATGCTCGTGCTGAACTTCAGTCTTTGAGCTCCATTGTTCCATGCTGTGACCCAGGCCTTGAGAGAAGAGAATTTACCACCAGTTCTTTTCTGAAGGTGTTGCAGCAGGTTAATTAATTCTTTTTGGAAGGTGTTAATCACAACATATCTACATGTTCACATCTGCAGAGTTGGAGATGAAATGTAATGATATCAACTTCGTACTTAGCTATTAGAGGCTGATCGGTCTTCAATTAAATTGTTAGGCGGGCTCTTAAAAAGCACTGTTAATTGGGTTAGGGGCCACCAGGATTGCTAGCAGTGACAGATGTACACAACCCTGCTATTGGCCACCAGCCAGAGACTGCTATGGAACCCCCTCCAGTTACACGTGAGAGATCCAAGAATGTATAACTGCCTTGCTATGTACACTAAGAGAACAAAAATCACAGGTAAGAAAATTCCTTTGGAGTAAGAGATGAAAGAATTTGTTACAGTTTAAAGTGCAGTGAAGTAGCTCTGAAATACTTCAGGAAGGAAAGTGGTATTTCAAAACAGTTGGGAATTTTTGTATAGTAGCATAGCCAATAAATACTTACCATCTAATACATGAATTTCTGGTAATAGACAAGAGTCATGGTGGGGAGAAAGCTTCAGGGTCTGTTTGTAGCAGCTGTTTAAATATTGGTGGTAAACTTGTATTGCCAATGTAGTTTTGCAACTCTCTTGCTCTAGTTCAATTTTAATGAGTTACTTTTGCGTAGACAACCTTTTAAAACTTAAACATTTTTTTAGGGTTAAAGACACTCCTATTCCAAGTCCTATTAGTGTGCTAAAAGGGAATCTTAAAAGCAGATAAAATTGCTACACCAGAAAGCCATAACAATTACACAGTAGAACAAGAGATCTTTCAATTTCCTCCTCTTACTTTCTGAGCTCTCCAGGTAACCCCCTAGTAGTTGGGCCTGTTTGCCAGCCTCTATATGGCTCCTCCTATGTAAATCTGATTTAGGGTGGCTGGGGGGAGGGAGGAGGCCCAGTCCTGTCATTCATTTCTCCTGTTCCTTGTTGGGCATTCTTTTGGTAGTTAAAAATATCGCATTAGGAGAGCTACTGAAAATACTGAAGCTTCCACTGGGTGTTCTGCCAAACTAAAACTTAAAATTCTCATATCTGAACTTTGCCATTGTCTGTATTTTCTAGGGCACTTACATGGAGCTTTGAATGATCAGTGTAGTCAGAGACCTCCTAGGGGCAAAGCTAATAGAACCAGGAACTATTCCTTTGCATTTAATTGTCCAGATCATTTTGTGTTCAGCCCCCTTACTTTCACTTCATATGCTGTCTTGGAGAGGGCGGATGCTCCTCTCTTCATATATTTTTGTAGGTATCACCAACATTACATACAGGTTTTTGCAGTTTATACGGAGCTTTCTGCTTGATAACTATCCAAGCTAACAGAATAACTTTTGTCCCCTGAAGCAGGATAGTATACCTTTCTATGTTGGAGTGAAATAGGTTTTTTTTCTGCGGCAAGGGGCTGTTGATACTTTTACCTTGTTCTGCTAACATTTGAGTGAATCATGTCTCAGAGACACTGCTGCTGGCAGACATGAAAAAAAAAGAGAAGAAACGGCGTTTTACTTTAGACCTGGTGCACTCCTGCACTAAGCCCAGCACATACCCAGAACAGACAATCGTGTTAGTTGGACCCGGTTCACTCAACATCTGTATAAACTGGGCACATTAGTGCGGCATTCTTGGCACTTTTATCTAATAGCTGATTGAATTTTATCTAATAGCTCCTGAAGCATCCAATCTATACAGACGCTGAGGAGCCTGGTCGAACTACTGTGCTGCCCCTTCCGGTAAAGCTTGTTTTTTTTTTTTCTTCACATCTGTCAGCAGCCTAGACGTCTACCTGAGAGAGAGAGAGTGGTATAATTTGAACATAGTTTTGCCAGCTGGCCTCAGTTCTGACTCTGAATGCTTCTGAGTTTAATCCTGGGTTTCTCTTTAATGGGGACATCGAGCTATCGTGGGATTCTTGTCTAACTAATTGGAGGCTAGTAAGAAAGTTTTTGTCAGAAGAGCTGTGGTTCAAGCCTGTTTTCCTCTTAATGAAAAAGCTGGTGAACTGTCTTTTTTTTAGCCCACCACTGCTTCCCTTTTATAAGTAAAGCTGCTTCCAGAGTTGGTATGCTTTTGGTACTA